AATTAATTGGTGGGGTTTTTACCGTTTTCTCACTAGCACGTGTCAAAAATGAATTGACACAACGTTCTAGAATATTCAGACGGGGATGAAAGAGTTGTTATTTGATTGTACCGCAGAAAGAGTTTTGATTGCCAGCCCAAAAATTGAAGATGAGGCGTCTCGGGGAAACGGTGAACTTCTGGATGAATTGCCTGGAAATGTGTAAACCAATTTCACTTTCATTTTTTTTCTTTTTATTTAAACAATTGAATTATTTTACAAACCTAGACTGAATTTGTTTAAAAAATGCAAATTATGGTTAAAATGATTATAAAAGAAACATTTTACAGACTGACTTTTTTTTTATTCCTACGAAATTTATTAAAAGCACCTATTATTCAGATATGTATTAAAGTCTAAAATATGTCAATAAAAAAATATAAAAATTCACTGTCTAATAAGTCATTAAATAGTCCACTTACAAAAGAAAAGAAGACTGTGACTTCCTCCATAAAATAAAAAATAGAAAATTTAACTGTTGTTCGTAATTTATTTGTTCAAAATCATAAATATTCAATTTTTATTCAAAAATATCTTTATTGTCAAAGGTAATAAAAATAATAATTTTCTTCTTAACATATCACGGCAAATCCAGAATAATTGTGCCATAGAGTTGGAAACTTTTGCCCACTTCTATTTTTGTCGTGAGAGAGTCAAAGTTGGCAGTCTGAAAACGCTCGGCTCAAACCGGTGGCAGGTCCGAGTAAAGTGTCAAACGCGATTTTAACCACTTTAATTATTAATTTCAGTCGGACTTTTCAGTCTGGGCATCGCGGAGTTTACATGTTTACTCAGCATGATTACGTGAATTATTAAACGATTGTCTGCCGGCTGGCTTTTCCCGAATTTGGACCGTTCAGCTTGACTGACGGCTGAGATGTGAAATTATTCACGTCCAGTTTGGATAAAGATCGTTTAAAACTTTTTCAGGTTCTGATTAATTTCGGGTCTTGGAATAACACGGTTGGACAATTATTACTGATCAAACATGGTTAGATAATTATTCAAATTCTAAGCCAGAAAGCGCACTTGTTTTAGTGAAACAGCCTCACTAAAAGAATCCGATTAATTTTGCAGATTGTGATCATTTTTCAAGTCTTGGCAAAAAGGTGAGATGAATTTGAGTTGTTAAAATTCTCAAAAATTATGGGCTTACGAAGATGTCACATTTTAGGTTTCGAATTTTTTTAACGATTTATTCTTAGCTGGACTAGAAATGTAAATGCACTTGCCTGAACTTGATTTGTTATCTAGGAAACGTTTGCTGCTTAATCGTCACTAGTTTTACCACTTGTTTACGATGAAGAACAATGTCAGAAAAACTACATTTAACTCAATATCTATTTACATCGTTAGTATTTTTTTCTTAAATTCCAGTTTGCACTTTACAATATTGGAGGACTGGACAAGCTCAAGTTGGATAATGAAATGGATTGGAATAGATAACTTTCCAAAAAATTATTTGCTTAGCATAAAAAAACATCGCATTATCGTTGAAAAAACGATTAATTCTATGCCCAATTAGAAAAATAAATCCATGTTGCCTGTACTTGAACTTGATTTTACAAATAGAAAAAGTTTACTGCGAAATCAATATTAGTTTTACCACTTGTTTATGATGATGACCCAAGTCGAAAACGTCATATAACTCAATATTTATTCATATTCGTTTACACTGGCATTACATTTTTATTTTAGCTAAGTCTGATTGATCTTAAATTCTTTGAGGACTGGACAAGCTCAAGATAATAAGGTGGATTTGAATCGTTCACTTTTCAAAAAAAAATGTACATCGGCTTAGCTTACAGATATCACATTGTCAGTGTCAAATTTAACGAATAATTCTTAGCTGATCTAGAACAATAAGTTGAACTTGTCTGAACTTGATTTTTTATCTAGCATTTACTGCGTAATCATTATTAATTTTACCACTTGTTTATGATGAAATTAAAAAATTGACTCAATAGTTCTTTATAATTTTCGTATTACGCTGGGGTTTTTTCTTTCAAAATCTTGCAGGGCTGAACAAGCTTAAGATAAAGAGTGGGAAAGTTTTTGGTTGTTACATACCAAAAAAAATATAAAAAAATATTTGGCTCATATAGACGTCATTATTATTTATAAATAAAAGTTTTTATTATACTACTTTTGCAGAGTCTGATGACCTTACAGACTTGGAGGTTTGGACAAGCTCAAGTTTGATAATGGGATGGATTGGAATAGATAACTTTCCAAAAATATTATTGGCTTTACGTAAGAAGACATCGCATTATCGTTGAAAAAATGATTAATTCTAAGTTTAATGAGAAAATAAATTCATGTTCCCTGCACTTGAACTTGATTTGCCATATAGCAAAAGTTTACTGCATAATTCTACAAAAATAAATTTAAGTTACGTGTACTTACATGTTATTAAGTATAAATTCATGCGTGAACGATATGAATTTTAACAATTAACATTAGAACATAAACCGTACTTTTATTTCGTATTTATGTATGTTTCATAAAAGACCAAATATGGAAAAAAAAGGAATGAAATTGGAGAGATTAGATGAATGAAGTAAATGGAATCAAAAGAAGATCGTTTTGAAAATTTAACTTATGATTTTATGAGATTTTCAAAATCAACTCAGAAGAATATAATACTCGGATAATATAAATTACCTCATATTTTATAAAAAATATCTTTCATTGTTTCCCAGTATGAACAAATTATCTATCCATCTATCTAAACACGCTTACTAACCTTGGAAAACAAAATTTATATTTGTATTAACCAACTTTACCACATTAGATATGTTTATTCTGCCGTACTTATTATAAACAATATGATTTTATAAATTGCAATAAAAAGGAAAATGACAGTAATAAAGGGGGACCAGTATTAGGAGCTGGAAAGTGTCCAACATCTTGAACAATCTCCCGAGGAAACTTCGAGTTTTTCAAAGATGATATCAATTTTATCTCTCACTTTTGGTTATAAACTACGAACGTCGCCTTCAACTAAAAAAAAAGTGTGTACTTTGATAGGAATCTAAGGTATAACCTATTTGATAAGATTTCCAATAGAATGTACCCGGGTTTGCAATAATTACGAAAGTGCAGAAAGGAATACTTCGAGTACGCACGAAACCTTTTTTTCCTGTCAACGTACATCAACAAATCGACTTGCCAAAGTGTGGTAATGTTCTTGCTAAATGTTCATCTGTAGGTGTGTAATGATGTGAGGTACACCTTCGAACACCTCTGGTATTTATCTTTGCTCATATTATTGTTTTGCTTAAGACCAAATTTGGTTTAAAAATCGTCTTTTCGTGAGTCAAAAAATTGTATATTCATAGTCAAAAGACACAAAAATATGCTACTTTTATTTTTTTATTATATTTTTAATTAGAAAAATACAATTTATGAGGCTGTTTCATGTATTTTGTAATTTACTGGTGATTTATGTACATATATAAACAACCGCCAATACGTCGAGAGAAAGATTATCTACCCGCATTGTCACTGATCATCCTGATCCGCCTATTCTCTTCGTTTCACTGTACGGTTATTACCATGGAAAATAAAGAATCAATATTGATCGTCCATTGAAACCATTGAGCGTTCGTTCTTTTGTCTTGATATTTATCCAAGGTACGTGGTATTTTTTTCTATTTAAGTAAAAAATGATTTTAGCGTCGTACTTCGTATTCAACAAGGCTTGTACATCAAAGGGGTACAAAAGATCATATACACAACATAAATAATTAATTATTAATTATATGGAGATAGTGAGATGCGGTCTGGTGTGACATAGATTTTAGAAAAACATGTTCTTTATCGTACCAACGTTTCGATCTTAATTGAGATCATCTTCAGGGCGCAGTGTTTGTTTTCCGTGTAGATGTGTCATTCTTGTGTTGAGAGTGCCGTAAATTATTAGGTTTCACGGAATTTATGTTTTGTTTAATATATTTACATAGAAGAAATTCAAAATAAAGAGCTACCTTAACTAACGTCTAAACACTTTTCTTCTTGTTTGAAAGATTTTTAGAGAAAATCTACTCCAACACAGTAAAATATGTATCAACGTTCAGATTTTTCAAGTACGAATCTAATTTTATCAAATAGAATACATTTCTAAGTCAATTTAAATTTAATCGAATTTGAAGTCTTATAAATGTTGTTTAAACAGAAGACTTTTTTGGACGAGAAAATTTATACAACCAGTTGTATAAAAAGATCTATGAATCTATAGCAAAAGTATCTATACCAAACATCTAAACAAAAAATATAGACATGGAGTTTCGATTTTACGATTTTCTAAACAATTTTCAATCACCAATCCATCAGTTTTTGTGGTTTTAATAGTCAAAAATGAGTTTTGATTGTGTGTTCTAGCATTAATTTTTCTAAAAAAATTAACAATTCTGAGAAAAACGATTCGATAAATTACTTAGCCCACGTGGTACAACAGAAAAGAAACGATGCCTTGGACTACGTTTTTCCTTTTGTGATTTTAATTAATTTTTATGATATATTTATATAAAAGTAAATCATTGTGGTAATTATATGACGAATTCTTTGTACTCAGGTATTTGTTTATAATGCGAGGTGATTTTCAAGACGAAATCAATTTATGCAAACGAAGTCCTAACTATGTCTGAAATTTACTTCCTTTATTAACTTTTAAAACAATAAAGCAGTTCAAGCTGTATTGTTGTACAGTTGGTTTATTACCGCAGTAAAAAATTTAGTGGTGGAATTATTTCAAGGTCTGTATGTTGGATTGGGAAGAAGTTAAGATTGAATGTTAGCTCGACTGAATGCCATTTTAACTATGGTCAGTTGAGACGTACAGCACAAGGGAAACACTCCGAACATTCCCCAACCGATCCACCGACAATTCAAAAAAATTCACGATTCACAAGGTTTGTTTACAAACTGGACTTGAGGGGAGAACTGGCGAGAGGACTGACCTTGCTTGATGTCAGGTTCGCTCTCGACTGATCCTGGCTCGCTGCTCTCGTCTGTGGGCCCCTGTTCGAAGAATGCGAGCGAAAATTCGGGCCCGGCTTCGAAGGAGATGCTCGGCGCCGGAGATGTGACGGGTCCGACTCTTAATCTCTCCGGAGATGTGACCGGTCCGACTCTCAGTCTTTCCTCAAGCTCGTACAGCTCCATCACCCATCTCGGTACTGAGGAGGTCGGTGAACCTCGGTCCCCTCCACGCTCTCGCCCCTTCACCGCCGCACCGCGCTCCACCGCCGGCCCCCCCTCAATCCTTTGATTAATCTCGGCGGCCGGCCACATCTACAATTCGGAACTGCTCATCCATCCTAGTATTGCACCTGCCCTGATCATCTTCAGTCTTTTTTTCAATTGCCGGCCGGCCTCCGAACCCCGAATACCGTCTTGAGCAATAGACCGAACGACCTTCCACTTCAGTTTTCCTTCAATGGAAGTTCTTCACCAAATGTTAATGAGAGTCTATTCGAAAAATGTGTTCAGAACACTAGATCGAAACTTCTTCGATTAGGGAATTTGGACAGAAAATACATAGTCCAATGTCCTAAAATATGCGTGTTCATTGTACAGGTGGTGCGTTCTCATTTATCAAAAGAATGAACATACAATTTTTTTTAAATAATAAAATTTAATAAAATATGCAATAACCTTCGGAAAGAGGTGTTTAGAGCTTAGGAAGTTCGGATGAAATTTCATTGTGACAAAAATTGTCTCATAAAGTTTAAACTTCGTTTTTAAACGGAAGAGAGAATATTTTACTGAGTACTTGGGGCCACCGCCTGCTCTATTCGTTGTTTTTTCTTTCTTTCTTTTTTTTTTTTGCAGGGGCATCTGACAGCGAGGACATTTCAGCCCCGAGCGGAAGTAAAATACTACACTCAATACACACACTCAATACACAGTCACGCCAATAAATACATTCACACCTGTATACATAGATCGCACTCATTCTGTTTGGTAGATGGAGTACTCGATATTCCTCCATCTCCCTGTTCATTATAATAAACTTGTCTATACAAACTGTCTGGTTGTATAATTCAATTAGTTTACTTAATGTTATCAGCTGACAATTTCCTCAGGTTGGTGAATTAATATCCTTGTTTCCTTATCTTACTTATATGCATTTCATTTAACGAAACTACTTTCATTGGAATGAAATGACGACTAGCAGGACGAGGAAAAAATCAAATCGCTGCTGGTGACACGAAACTCAGACGGAATTCCTGGAAAATTGACAGTGCCACCCTTCATCGACACAAGTTTTTTCAACAAAATGCAAAATCTTTGGCTCTTCAAGAAGCGCAGTCCAAAAAGTTGGGTATACCACTGGAAGTTAATGGAAACTTTTAAGGGAATTTGCGAAGCTCCAGAAGTGTGTAGTTATTAACAGTCGCCAATCCAAGATTTTCAAAAAATTTCAAATTTCGACATTTTTGTTTTTCCTGAATTTTTCGTGTAGAACTTTTCCAACAATTCTGGAATGTAAATAAGTTTTCTTACAGAAAATTAACGCTTTGTCAGGTGCCACAAACCAGATTTTTGTACAGTCAGTAATTCTGAATTTTATAGAAAATTAAGTGCACCTAAGTCGAAAAATAAAAAAAACCTTAATTACTTTACCGTTGAGATTTGGCCAGGGATTTATAGGAAGTTTTTTGTTGCAAATGGTGAGCAGAAACACCTAAATTTTTCGAAACTTATCGCTAGTCACCTTGTACAGGGGTTATTTTACAAAAGAACACGCTCCCTCAGGGAGACGTCTTATGAAATGAAACAAGAATAAAAAGTTATTTTATCATATTTTTAGACTTGATACGTTGCTTTTTAGCAAATATAACAAATTGCCAAATGATACAATCAAATGTCATTATTAACGATCATCTGTCAGGTAGCTCAGTTAAATCGCAGTTAGAAAACATGTACGGAAGTACGACCACGCTCTGAGATTAAACAAATTGCAGCCTATCGATCTTCAAAGGAGTATAAAAAAGGTGATGCATCAACCGCTCTCTAGAATGCCTAGGGGCTGGGAAAAGAGAAGACTATCCTCAAATTCAAGCGTCAAAGATGACCGGGTTATAAAGTTAAAGGTTGACAACGGGCTGCTACCCGGTCCGCCTATCTTCGCTTTTTGTTGTCAAACGTGGTTCGGCATCTCATCAAACGGGCTTCCCGCTATTTAATTTTTTCTTTTCATTGTTGATTTTTGTAACATGGAATATGTCGCTGTAATACCACTGACAATTTCGAACAGGCATGTCTTTTCAAAACAAATTCTTTGTTTTACAATACTTTAATTAATTTAATCCTTTTTAATAATTAACTATTTCATTTATACCGCAGTTCCGAATATTAAAAACAAGTATAAAAGTACAAAACCAGTGGGAAACGCCGTCTAAATATGTAAAGCATTAAATGTTTCCCATGCATTGTGATTTACCACTTAATTATCCCTGTGGTCGGTATAATTAACCTTTGAACTTGGTAGAATAAATAATAAAATTTAATAAAATATGCAATAACCTTCGGAAAGAGGTGTTTAGAGCTTAGGAAGTTCGGAGGAAATTTCATTGTGACAAAAATTGTTTCATAAAGTTTAAACTTCGTTTTTAAACGGAAGAGAGAATTTTTCACTGAGTACTTGAGGCCACCGCCTGCTCTAATCGCTGTTTTTTTTTTCTCCATCGCCGGCTCATCCTCTCAAGAAAAAGCTAAAGGGACGAGCACGAGGGTTGTTGAACCCCCGCTAGGTTTATGTTATCATTTTTTTATGTAAAAAAGAGCAATTCCAATAAATAAGCTCAAAAACTCCCCCCTAACCATCCCTAAAGAATAACTTGTACGTTACTCCAAAGCAATTAATTAAGGTTTGTAGTTGAGATGAAAAAAGTTAATGGCACGAGCGGGATTCGAACCCACGATCTTTGGCTAGATACGCCGCTGCTCTACCACTTGAGCTATCGTGACCTCGATCCACTCAGACATCAACTTCCTATCTCCTAAAATTTTTACCCCCCCCCCCCCGATGACCAACCTGGCAGTAAGCTTTTAAGTGCATAAAGCATGCCGGGTGCAAGACATTATAAAAGCCTGTGCTACATCCAGGAACGCACCCAAGCAATATTCTTCATTCTCGCAATTTTTTTTTTGCATTCTAAAATTTGTTTAGTCAATACTTCAAAAATGATATTAATTATCTTTTATTATAAACCTTTTCTTTTGGAATTGTTTAATGTGTCCATTATGTGAGATTAATATTTCTGTAATGTGAAGTTAAAATAACTCTTATATTATACTAGAGTATTAATTAAGAGAATATTAATTACTCTGATCAACATTAATCTGGTAAAATAACAGTCCTGCACATAAATATGTACTTACATCTTAAATATTTACAAGAAATGTCAAGTTTATATACATATAGTAGTAAGTCGTAATTCCTACCATATTACGAGGGGTTTAGTGTGTTGTTGGGCGTCGAGGGCGATAAATTTTTTTATATATATGAAATTATCGCTATGAACTCTTGTTTATTTATTATAAAACACATAATTTATTTTTAGCATAGTGGATAACACAATTGTCTTTTTGCTCACCTGTCGAAAATTATTCAGAAAATCGGTTGTATTTTTTAATTTCTCTTATATCTTATTTCTTAAAGTTGCTTCTGTTCCGGTGATCTTAGACTTGTCATGGGGATTTATCATTGCCGATCATCTCCGCGGCTGCCTATTCATGCCTTTTGCTCTTGACGAGCAGCGTTTTCGCTTCGCGCACCATCAGACATCTGTCGGCAGATGTTAATTCTTCGCCTTTGTAACACTGTTGCACAAGAAAAAAAATCGGAAGGAAATCGTTTCTGTAACGTAGATTTTAACTGATTTTGTTTATCCAAAGATTTTTGTTTTAAAGTTCTACAAAATAATAAACGGGAAGAAAAGCTTACTTTTCCTACAGAATTCGTATTCTATCAAACTGTTTTTAAAGATTAAAGTTTTTAAGGTTTTAAAGGTTTAAAAGCTTTGAATTAAAATTATAAAAGTCTTTTCTTTATTGCGACCTAATTAGATAGATTGTGGAAACCGTACAATTATAGCCATGCCTTGGAAAAATTCTCTTTTTTCTTCAGGCTAAACACTTTCCTCGTTTCCTCATCGCAAACCTCGTTTAGTGTGAAAATTGCCCTGCCGGATGTGGCTGTCCCGTAACCGGGATAATGCTTCACAAAGGATATCCACGGATGTCTCTGGTTCCTCCTGACAAAATCGGCATAGTGCTGTCTCAGACTGCCCATATTTTTTAAGTGATAGTTAAGAGGGCACTGTCGAGTATAGATTTTCCAGTCGACATATATTTTTATATATACGGACGTGGGCGTATGCACAACCATTTGAACTGCGGAGCAGTGTATTTCCAATTTCAAGTCCAGCTGCATGGGTAAGGACTCGCAGTGGCATAGTTGCGAGACCCTTAGCAGGTACCTAGAAAAGAGGCTGTGTTTCATTCGTGGCCGTGGACCGTAGTGCTTGCGTATGACCTCGCGGGAATCGGAAGGATCGGACTGCCGAGAGCGTATAGCCATCTAGGAGCTATGACTACTCTGACGGTATTCCTCGAATGAGTGAGAAATGGTGGATGGGGGTGGTTGTTTTTCTGTTGTGCTCGTCTGGGCTGCCTTTACCGAAGGCATGGTTTCTTCTAGGGGGTGGTTAGAGATTCAACTAAAATCGAAACCTCGGCCGGAGCGCATCCGGAGGTTTCGACCGTAGCAGAGCCCTACACCCAGGGAGATAAGTTGACATCTCTGTCTAGGGAGTGCGTGGGAGACGGCCGATGCATTGCGACCACCTTTTGGGTATCCCTTTACGCGCGGCACTGGTGCATAACGTTAACCCAACCCCTCGGAAGGAGCAAGCGGGAGAAGTCGACACGACGGCAGCATGCTGCAGTATGATGTGGGCTTCTACACCAAAACTCACCGAAGAAGTAGATTTTCCGTACACGGTGAGTCGCTCCTAACTTGAGAAACTAAACGTGTGAGAAGGCCTATGTTCCAGGAGCGCACGCTGAAGAACCTCAATGTTAAATGACATTGCGAGTGGGAAAACATGTTCATAGTGGGGGTTACTGAACCCGCACCCCTCAGGCAACGGTTGCATCAGTAAAGGGTTCGTATGAACCTCCGGGTGGACAGTCAGTCCGACCTTAAAAATAATAATGAACCACGGGAATAGAGTATCTGA